ATTTGTACATAAATTAATTGTGCATGTACGTACATCAGTTCCCCATCTTAATGTATAGCAATCTACATATGCACTGATGTTGTATTATTAGTAGTAATATTACTGTTATTATTTATTATTATTGTTTTTATTATTATTACTGTTGTTGTTAATAATATCTTCAACCAATAATTAAATTGTTATCAGTTCATTGGTTTGTTTGTTTGTTGATTAATTAATTTATTAGTTTGTTCATTCATCGGTTCATTCGTTTATTAATTCATTTGTTCAATTTACGTGTAACGCGTTTCAGCTATTCACCATTTAAAATCAATCAATATAATTTTTTTCCTTTGCTGCAAGATAATTTTTTTAATATATAAACATATCTCAACAGTTTAATTATTTTATATTGCGTCGCTTCATGAAACTACAAACAAACGAACAAACTACATTTAATTAATTAATTGCCTAATTAACTAATTTGTTAATTAAAAATTTATAAAATTTGAACAGTAAGAAGGACCGACAGCTTTTCTTGGCATTTTGGCACCTTTTCTAATACAATATTTATTATTAAACTACTATAATGGTATAAATCATAAAATAGTTATTCATTTCATCAGCCTCTGATGATAGCTCAATAGAGGCGCTTTAAAATTTACAATGCAATGCAATTCGTGCTAACAATTACATCATTGTAAGTGACAACCAATTTCTATATCATCTTTGTATGTCTGGCAGTATGCGTTAGGTTACATGCATACAACAACAACACAGAATCAACATCAAATGTTATCAATGAACACAGAGGCACATGCACAATTCCTCCATTAATCAGTATGTTCCATTTGTTTTATTTTGTGAGTTCATAATTTTTACCCACACAAACATGTTTGTATGTTATTTAAAATTATGATAATTCTAATAGCAACTTATAAATAGTATTTTTTATGTGTGTTATGCTATGTAATGAAACAGTCCATGTTTTAAAATGTTTAGATTGTGAAACATTTTTCGGGTCACCAATAGCCCGCCAGCCACTGTTTACCCACTCTTGGTCTACTGCCGATACAAGTAGTCTATAGGCAAAAATATATCGAATCCAAGTTAGCTTGGAATTGTCAGAACTTACATTGAAACCACAAATCCGATCAATGTTACCATTCATTTGTTTTTCCATATTTTTTTTATGAAAGACTTAAATACTAGTTAGTGTGATGAAGTGGTAGGTGGGTAGGGAAAGCTTAGGACAATGGGTGCTAAATAAACTTAATGTCACACAGATTACTACATGTATATGCAGTACATGAATTTTTTGCACTTATCAACCCGTGTCCGTTCTTATGTGTTTTTATTATCAATTTCCCGCCATATCACGTTTTATTGTCATTTAATTATAATTAATTGGCATATAATTAGCATATAAATAAATATATATATAATTAGTATATAATTATTATATGTAATTAATTGCAGCGTCGGCAATTGTTGTTTAAATTTGTAAATATTTCATACAGTAAGTGTTACATCAGGTAATTGCAATGTTTTTAATTAGCCGATCCAATTAGTGTGCAGATAATTAGTGAGCAATTAATGAATTGTTCAATTTAAAACTTATAGCATAAATCAAATGGCAACACATATACATACACACACGCACGCACACACACACATACAGAGGTTTTTTCACCATAAACATGGTATATCTCAACAGTTTGTGTGTGTGCTCTGTTATACAGTTCCTACATTTCAACAGTCTATGTCATCACATGTGAGTTTTGTATTATTTTTATGTCGATATATCAATTGTTGGATTGAATGATTGATCGTATGATCGATCATTTGGTTGGCTAGTTAATCAGATTGACTGGTTTAGAGAATTTTGCTATTTCCACATTAAAACTCATAGATGAATAGATGAAATTGCACATATTTATGTGTATATAAGCATAAATATTCACGATTATATCTAAGCATTCAGTTCTGATATATATTGAATAGAGTTACGGAACGGAAGAAATGGTATTTGTAGAATTTTGCAATTTTTTTTTGTTCTGAGCCGCAGATGTATCAATGCATTAGCAGGTAAGAGCAATTAATGTTCAGCAGTTCCCAATCACCTTACATTAATTATCCCTGATGTCATTTTTATGATATTATGTATAAATAATATTATCTTCATCTATATTATATAATAATAATAATATTTATTTATTGTTATCGTTATCTTCATGACATCATCTCTAGGTTTTCTAGTAACATGACCCTACGTAATGTTAAAATGAACGTTCATTTCTCCTTTCATACACGCATACACTCACACACACACACATAAACACACACACCTAACTTTCAAAAATACAGCAACAACCATTAATTCTTCCAGCGATCGATCGATCGATTGATTGATTGATTGATTGATTGATTGATTGATTGATTGATTGATTGATTGATTGATTGATTGATTGATTGATTGATTGATTGATCGATTGATTGATCGATTGATTGATCGATTGATCGATTGATCGAACAGGCATATGATGGATGAAGGAAAGGCATTCATTTATTCATATATTTATTAATTAATTAACAACTGGTTGAATCTTCACGCTTCTTCATACAAATCTCTCATTTCTTTACTCGCAGTTTTCGTCTTAACAACTAACTACATGATGCATTAGAGAGTAATGAATTAATTCATTCTATATTAATTATTACTAATTAATTAATTAACTAATTACTTCATTCGATACCATCGTTCTTATTATTTACCTATGTTTATTTGGTCCATGTGATTAGCTATCACTACTTACCTGTCCATTTATCTATCTACAAATGTATCATATATCATACATACGTAATGTTTTTTTTTTATAAGCAACTACTCTTATACATCAGATATCTGATTGTTTAATGGAGGTGACTTGATAAAGATTTCAGTAGAAAACATTTTATTAATACTTGTACAACTGAATTAATGAACATGTGTACATATGGAGGGGGAGAGAGAGAGAGAGAGAGAGAGAGAGAGAGAGAGTGAGTTTGATGAGTTGATTTTTTTTAAAAACGAGCATAGCATCATCATCACATTTACTGAAACATTCGTTGACTTTTAACACATTCAGAATCTGTGCGTTGTGCGTGTGTGTGCGCGTTTTGTGCGTGTGTGTGAGTTTTGTGTGCGTGCGTGTGAATGAAGTGTGTTTGAGGATAATTTTGTTTGTTTTTTCATGGGTCTTATTTAAATTTTGTTGTTCATTTTGTAAAAAAATATTAATTCGGTTATTTTTTGTTTATGTTTATTATTTTTAATAAATCATTTCACGAATGAATTTCTAATTCTCACTAAACTTTGATTTCAACCGATTCATTGATTTTCATTTCATGGTTGATTTTTAGCTCCAATTTTTTGCTCTGATTAATTATCAGTTTTTAATAATGATAGTATTATTATCATTATTAAGATTAGTGATAATAATAACTTTTAATATTATTCGATTGTTTAAACTCAGCTAGTTCGTCCAATCATTCTCATTTGTATTTATTATTTTTTTGATGGTTTGTTGTTTCGTTAACTCATTCATTTTTTTGTCAGGTTCACAACGGTTATATATATATATATACATTTATGTATATAATATACATATATATATGTATATTTATACTTGTATATATATAAATATATATATATATATATGTGTATATATATATATATATATATATATATATATATATATATATATCGTTAGGAGTATTACGATCAATTATTTCTTTAATAAAAAAGATTCAAATGGATTTTAATGAGTTTAAAATGTCAGGCACGTATACACACACACTCACACATACACACGCACTCACACACACACACACACACACATATATATATATATATATATATATATATATATCCATATGTATGTTGTCAGTCAGTTTTTACTTGTCAAAGCTGTAAGCGTAATAATAATAATAATAATAATAAATTTCGGTAATTATTAGTTTTGATCTGTTTTTTTTTTCAAATTTCTGGTAAATGTCAACTATTGGCTGAGTTCGGAGGACGAGGAATCATTTACTTAATTTATTAATTCCATTTCGTTCAGAAGTTTTTTTGAAAAAGTTTAACTAAATTTCAGTTTTTTTATTGCCTCGTATCTACCTACACTCCACCGCCGCACTTTATCATCAGCTATTATGATAAGGAGATTTTTTTGAGAAAAATGTAATATAGTTGAGTTATTGATAAGTTACAAACATGATAACATGAATTAAATATCGATTAACAATAAAATATCGATGTTGATGAATAATAATCACGTAAATAAAAATCTTTTAAATCTGTTTAATGCATTCATCTATTTGGTGTCAATTTACTCAAATCCAGGCAATTAACCTGACTACTTATTAGTAACTCATATAAATTCCCACAACTACCTTCACAACTACTGCTGCTACTACAACTACTACAATATTGCTACTAATGTAATTGTT